GCACCCTTGAAGGCATGAGCGAACTTCTTCCCGGGCGAGACATTCGAGACGACGTCCACGGGAACAGAGACCCATGGAACCACGGGAAGCAGAGAGACGACTGTCCGCATGGCCGAGAGATTTTAGGGCAGGGGGGAACTTTCGCAGGGCGGCAGCAACTTGGACACCGTACAAGTCTGACAACTCAGCAGCAATGCGAGTGGCTCGGGTATTCAAACTGGCTGGAAGATGACGGGAGCCAGAGTTTTCCACTCGAAGCGACGACGAGATTGCACTGCATACTTTAGAAAAGTGTTCAATTAAGGCTTCAATAGAAAGATCTTTGCGACGAACTTGCGACTTGGTGAACCCCAGGCGGCGGGCAATGTCACGCAAGTCTGCAGCGGGAACCTCGCTTAGATTGTCTCGATAGATGTCCACAGCGTGGAAGAACCAAGGAGGGTCACGCTTGAACTTGAGCAGAAGGCAAGACTCCATAGTAACGGCTGCTCGACATCCCTCATAGCACCTGAAGACACTGCAATGGGCGTAGGATGCCGGTGCGAAATGAGAAGGAGAGAAAGACACGGAAACACCACCGATTCGGATATTGACCGCGACCCCATCAAATGATACGGAGTGTACCTCGATACATGATGCACACTTGGCACACGACAAAACATGATAGTTCAGCGCTGAATACAGCCATGAACAGAACCCCGAAGGTGTCTCAAAAACAGCAGGATGACACTCGGGGTGATACAACGGATCATAATACAAAGGAAAATCAGCGGGAGAATGTAAAACATGGAGAGGAGGGCAATCATTGACATCGAGTACGCGAGTAATCACAGAGGGTGTTTTATGCAAGAACGCTGCCATGGGATGGAGTAAACGAGCACGAACAAGAAAAGCTGCAGATAGTCGAATCAATAACGACCGAAAGGGACCGAGGAGATGGACACACCGTGATAGGTAGCACACCAAAGGCAACGGCACGAACAAAGATAGAAGGGTCCTGAAAAAAGGTAAAATATTTAACGACTGAAAGGCAAGCACAGAGGGAACGCGGACACACCTCGCTAGCTAGCACACAGAGGACAAGGGAACCAAGGGAGATTCAATTGAGCGTCCAGAAAAATGTATCCCCGGTGTGTTCCCACCACACTAGCTAACACAGAGGAGAAGGGCACAAACTATGCAGAGAGCCGGTTCATTAACAACTGAAAGGTACAGAGTACATCGACTCACCGCGCAAGGTAGGACACAGAGGACAACGACACGAACAAAGACAACAGCGTCTAGAAAAAATGAAAGATCAATCGACTGAAAGGCATGCGCAGGGAGGACGCGGACTCACCTCACTAGCCAGGACACACTAATATTGTCATTGATATTGGTGCGGTACCGGGTGAAACGAGAACATGTGCGTGAGAGAACAACGGAGTCGGGGATTGGAGTACTGGCGCTCACCGCTGCTACTAGATGTCCACTAGAGTTCGCGCATTTTTGGGGTAACGTCTATTACTCCACAACGCACAAACATAAAAATTTAATTCTTCGACAGTTCCATAGCCTGACAGCCCATTATGGGGGATTGCATAATATCATGTACGATTCATCAAGCGTGGTGCAGTGGACCTGGCGGGTACGCTCAGTTCGTCCCGTTAACTTCCAGAGGTGGCTTAGACCTGACGCCGCCTTTCTCATTGTGTAGTATCTCTGTCGTCAGTCCTATTGGAAACAGTAGGGCAACCGGGGTCATAGGTAAGTCTTTTACTCCGTGCTCACAGTCAAATGGTTACTACTTGACACCGTCTTGCAGACACCACTGTGGCAAAGCAGCTCATAGACAAGATTTACGAGAAGAGAAAGGCAGCCGCTCTCGAATCAGAGAAGCAATTATACTCGCTTGCAGTTGATAGTAATGCGTTGAGCGTTCTCAGGCAGATTCGGGAATGCCACCAGCAAATCGACCACCGTCGTATAACACAGATCATTGAACAGCTGGTGGATATGTTCAGCAATTCACCAAATCTCCTTCACATCAGAAACGGAGGACTCGTTGACATAGCTGGTACAGCCATTGCCCTCGGCATGGACGTCGCCTCGTACATAGAAATTCATCGAACCCGTGCTGGCGTGCTTTACGGATCCAGAAAACAGAATACGATATCTCTCCGCCGAATGTCTGTACAACATCGCCAAGGTATCCAAGGGCGAGGTTCTTTCAACCTTACATTCGACGCCCTCAGTAAAGTGCGGTAGCTCCTCGTCAAGTTTTGCATTATAACCGAGCTGAACTTCTCAGCTAGCTGATTCAGAGTTATCGGTCAAGAATGGGGCGGAGCTGCCTGATAGAATTCTGAAGGATATTGTGGCAGAGACAGCTTCGGTGTATATTCCGCAGTATCCAGAGACGGTGAGGATTCGCGACCTGTTCGATTCTCAGGAGCAGAGTATACTTGTTTCTTAACCCGATGTCCGATTCCTAGGAGAAAACATCACTGTAGAAGAAGGCATTCTCCCTCGCGCGCTTCATTCCACTGTTGCAAGGTAGGATATATGTCCCTGGTTCATTCACAAGGAGCTACTTGGCATCGTGGATAGCAGTGCTTGACTCGGTCGAGGAGCTCGAACTTCTAACATACCTCCTAGAGTTCCTAGACGGCCTCCTGTGAGTCGGAAGGTTTGTGGCTCAAGATGCTCGCTGATGCACCTATTCAGGAAGCACTTATCAGACCCCACCGAGGATGTGCGCGTAGCCACAGAACATTCTTGCCGATTTCCTACGTGAAATTAGAGACGTCTGTATGGTTCATCAACGCAAATAAGAACACACTGAGCCTTCTGATCTACGACGCTCAGATGAGAAGCTTCCTGACATCACGATGTCTCACTCTGAACGCGCACGTTTCATCACCAAGAGTGAATTTGGCCACGATCATGATGGAGCACAGTTTCAAGGATGAGCACAAATCAGAAGACTATCGCGGCACTGGAGGTAGGGATTGTTTAACACATTCATTGAAACTACTCACTGCTCGTGCAGCCTCAGTTCCTGGGCAGGGTGTGCGGAGAGACTATGCAGCCATAATAGAAATTCTCATGACAACCAACGTGAGTTGTTTCCATCCAAGCTCACTGCATTGTACTTATCTTGCATGCACAGATGACGAAATCCAATAATCTACAGCCCTTCGTTGGTTCGCCGAGTTCTTGACCTTTCTGCCCGATGTCATGACGCCCCGTCTTATTCCTGCCATACTCCCGAATCTAGCACACCATGTCCTGATGATCCAGTCGGCTGCACTCTGAACTAACAATCTACTTTCGAACGTCATCCAAAACATACCCGGGCCAGTGGAGGGTCTATCCGGACAGAACACAGCAGAGAAGTCAATCGCGCCAGCAAGCTCACCAACCCAAATCCCCCAACCTTCACTGCACAGCCACCGTCCAGAGATGCCTCTTCTCCCGAGTCCGTGGGTGATAACCGGCCATCGTCTTCATCCGATAAAACCACCATGACGCAGCGTCCTCGCTCAGGGACAATGCAAACTACTGTCATGGAATCTTCGAGCAGGCCTCGATCTCGCACGTCATCAAATAGTGTAGTGGGTGCTCCGCCACCTCCGCCAGCTCCAGCTCCAGCTCCAACGCCTCCTTCACCCGTGCAGGAGGAGGCCAGTTTAATTATCAGGCGACAGTTAATGAGTTGACGATACAGTTTTTGAGCCAGCATGAGCAGATTAGGGTTGCTGCACTGAAGTGGCGCATAATGCTGCACCAGAAAGCACTGAAGCAGGTGTGCTGGAATCCGTCTGGAGTATGCGCAAACTGATGAGATTGTCAGATTCTTGCGATGGATGATGGTACTTTCCCGCGCGTTGCGTCAGATTCGTCCGAAGAGGTACTCAGATGTGCATTGACCTTGCATCATGCGACTCATATTTTCGTTGCAGCTCCCCGCGCAAACATTGTCCTCCTCAGAAGAGAGCTACTTCAAGGATTTCATGATGGACCTTTTCGAACTCTTCAGCACAGATAGGAAGCTTCTTGAGGCCTGCGGCAGTCCTATCATCCACCAGTCGTGTCTCAGTCTCAATACGGAGAGGATATATGAGACATTTGCAGAAATTTTGGAGAAAGAAGAGGTTGCTCGTCTTTTGTGGTCCCTAATGCAATGTTACCTGACTGCTATTATACAGGATCTGGAGTTTGCAAGCGAACGTGCAGATGCTGAATATGATCCTGATCACTTTGCCTGAACAGTTCCGAAAACGGCTGAAGGGCCTTGAGACAAGGGTTGGTTGAGCGCATTCTCGTTTGATTTCTTGACTTGACTGATGACACGTGCAGCAAGATGGTCAGGCGCTGTTCACCACGCTTTACAGGTCATGGTGTCATAATGCGATTGCAGTGTTTTCGTTGTGCATGCTTGCGCAGGATTACGAGCATGCATCAAATTTACTATCTATCTTGTAAGTTTGTCTCACATGGCGTGTTTGATCGTTGCTAACAATGTTACGCCGGCGCTGATTTGGAGATCACCGTTCCACTGCTGATCCAAGTCGACAAATTAGTGCAGCTGATCAAATCTCCCGTATTCACTTGTGAGTTATCTATTAATGAGATGAATCAGAGGTTGATGATATTCCGGAAGACCTACACCTTCAACTCCTCGAGCCTGAGCGTTACCCCTACTTGTTCAAGTGTCTATATGGGTTGCTCATGCTACTCCCCCAATCCACCTCTTTCGTCTCACTCCATAGCCGTCTCAACGGAGTCAACTCTGCCGGCTTCCTCCACATTGCCCCAAAAGCGTGAGTTGACCCACTCTCATTTCATCATGTGCTATTGTTAACCAATACGAGGACACCCAACCCTATCGCCTCACGCTCTGAGCTCGGCCGCGGTGAGACAAAATGGCAAGAACTTCTCGATCATTTCGCTCGCTACAAAGCAAGCACGAGAAAGCGCGACTTGGGATCTCGGGAATACTTTATCTCAGGATGATATCACCATCACACTGCTCTCGCTACTTGCGTCTGGTGACCTCCCAGTGCTGCCGATTATCCCGCCAAAGCCCACACTGAGTCCGCTCAATCCAAAGGCGAGGCAGAATGGGCTGATGGCAGGCATGTTGCAGGGTGTGATGACACCGGGGGTAATGCAACAGAGGACGAGGCGGACTCTGGGCTTACCTGTGGTGGACCCATGAAGGGGTGATTAGGTTTGGTTTCGATTGGTTCGGTTTGCAGCGGACTTACAGTGCATACTTGCATGCACATGATACTCTAATGATAGAAAAACGATTTGACTCAGAGTTTCGCATACCGAGACTGTCAGCATGTGCATTGCAGCTTCAGAGTTGGCAGTGAACAAAGGCTCTTCTCAGAGTTTTCCTTGGACCCTTGCGCGGTCTACTCGCGTAAGGGAGTTATTAATCTGGATAAAGTGATTGTCCATACCCGCTAGCTGGAAGGAATGAGGTTATGATGCTGAAAGTCGGACTAACGGCAGCGAATCTTTTACCTTTGAGAAGGATGGCACCGATGATTCCTGTCCGATCTTTCCCAGCCGGCAAAATCGAGTCGAAACTAGCGAGATGAAAAGAAGTATGAACGAACCCCACGGGTGCAGTGAAAGATGAAGGGAGGGTTTGGTTTGTCCGGGACATGGCACATAATATTATGGTATCAATGCGGGCCCGCCGTGTGTTCTAGTATTAGAGGACCATGAAAGCCTGCCGGTCTCGAAAAAATGGCTGCAGAAACCGTACAGTATCATGGAGTGAATATATATGTACGTCAGTGTCACGGTTGTCGAAGAAAAATAAAACCTATCATGTGGTGATCAGCACCGCGCAGCTTCAAATTGACTTCAAATTGTTAGACTAGATCATATCATGAGCTGGACTTATAGCCGGACGCTACACAGGCCGCGCTTCTACTATAGCACCCCTGCCCAACCCCAACGCCCGGCCAGTCTGTACGCCGCTCTACCGCAGCCCTCAAAGCTCCTTCTCAGTTCCCGATTCTGTTGCCCCCAGTTGTCCCTCTTCGCCTTTCTATTGCCCTCAACTTTTCCACGAGTCTGTTGCCCGTTCTGTTGCCATTCTCTGTTGCCGTTCTGTTGCCCCCAAATTTCACCGGCACGTTTGCCGCATCTGTAACCGTGGGAGTCGGGGATCCGATCAGAGTCCATCGTAGTCAGACCTGGATATAGAAGGAACCTGGAGGACAGTCGTTCCTTCTTGATTATGGATCCTAACTAAGTATCAATTATCATTCCTTGTTACACAGCTGAAAATACCGAAGATGAGTCTCGCACCGCGATATCGTTCGCATGCATCATTGAGTCATGCATCGTCACGGGCCATGATCGGTTCACTTTAGATTGAACAGGTGGTCGTAGGTATAAAGGTCAGCACCTTCGTCCCCCTTTCCCAGCGAATTACTACCGCAAACTCACTCTTTTATCATGGCCAACATCATCGATTCTCAGTGTGTCTTGGTCGTTGGATCCGCTGCAGAAATAGGTCGTACTCTTGCCCTGCTAACCGTCAATATTGTCTGCAGTCGCTGCAAGGAAAGGCTCGATGAACTGGTTGCCTTACACATTGCTACCGGACGACTCAAGAGCGTTACTCTTGACGTTCTTTCAGAGCGCAGCGTTCTCAAGTCTTCCATCGAAGATATCGTCAACACTTACCCAGATGTATGTGCCCCTAGCACTATCCCATGCAAATCGGCACTGACCGGCTGTCTAGGTTCTTGTTCTCGAATGGCATTCAACGGGCCTTCGACTTCACTAAGCCAGAAGCCGTTTATCCCGAATGTAGGTCTCCTGCTGTCACGGTGCATCTATGATTACTCATGGCGTTCTCATCTCGGTCAGCTCTCAAGTGTGAACTCGCCACCAACCACACCTCAATTGTCAGGATGATCACCTTCCTCCCTCATCTTATCGAGCTTGGGGTATGAGTATTTTTAACCCTTGTGCAGAAGCAAGGCTGTCTGACGTTCTTTTACACAGTTTATTCAGGGCTGTCCGTCGTTCCTGCCGCTGAAATCACTGCTGTGCGACAAAATCTACCAACTTGAGCATCTCACTCGCTGGTCAGCTCAACGAGAAGAACGATCACGTGGTTGAGATTATTCCTCCGTGAGTAACACTACTTGTTTCGTTGTTGTTGAACTCATTGCCATGTGAAGACTCGGTCGAGTCGGATTTTCATGACTGTAAGTTCCCTTCCAATTTTCCGTATCTACTGTCTCTTGACCTGCGTGCGCGTTAGTCGAAGGCACAACACAGCGTCTGGCCAATTTCTGGCTCTCGCTCAAAGAATACACGAAGGTGACGATGAAGGGCCTTGTTCGAGGCGACCCACACGAGGGATGGTCATTGAACAGCACAAAAAGTTTGAGGGGAAGTTTGAGGTTGCAACGAAGATGTGTGAGTAATTCTTTAATCGTCCACGAATAGACTGCCAATTTTCCTCGGTATCACCCTGCCAGTATCCTTGAAACAGGCTGGGACATCCTTTTCTTCTGTGTGGCGCGTATGGTTCTCATGGGCTTCTATCTTACTTGTCAGATGCCATTTTCTGAGGTACTCTGTCACGCGATGATTCGCGACGCTCGTGGACGCAAAATGAGAAAATCGCTCGGTAACGTCATTAGCCCGATCGATGTCGTCCTGTCGCTTGAGCAACTCCACCAGAAATTGTATTTGGAAGTTGGAGGATAAGGTTCGTGTATACTGCTGTTATTAGCGTTCTCATTTACGCTAATTTGTGATTTGGGCTTCAGGGTCTCTTAGCTGCCGTCAATCACACCAAGCACGACATTGCTGCTGCTTCTGCACATCACAAACGCCTAGGCAGTCTCGCAGGTCGTCTCGCAGGGTACATCAATCCCTCAATCAGCACTGGCGGTACGGAATGGATTGCAGGTATGGCTCCGTGGAACGCCTCACTGCAGCTATGCCGAATTTGTACTTATCTCCAAAGAAACATCTGTTTTATCACCAATCCTGCCTTTCTTGTCACGAGGTGCATCACACAACTAATTCTGTTTGCGTATTCTCATCGCCTCTCAGACACATGGAAGACTTTGTCACTTCCGACCCTTCCGAGTTGAAGAGAATCATCATGAACTACAACGACGACGTAGGCGATCGATTCTGAGATTCACATCCCCTTCTGACAATCTTCTGAAGCTCGACCAAAAAAATCGTAAGGGATTTCCTGCTCGGTTACTCGGCACTCTCAAGCATGAGCTTGCATACTCTCCCAGTCCTTCAAGCTGTGCCGGAGAATCTGGACGATAATCCGACAGTTCAACATGAGGTGAGCATCTCCATCATCCCGTTTCACATAGTCCCGCTTTCTTTTGTACACTTCAGTGTATTATGATGCTAACCAACATTCGAAACAGGCAGCAGAAGCAATGGGTGCGATCTTGTCGCCTAATTTCAAGGCAGTCCTCGCACATCAGAGGACTGGTGAGCCGCAGATATCGTCATATATAGAAAAGGTTTTCGTTATATTGGAATATTGGAATATAAAGTCATATAAAGTCATGTGTAACGTAGGAAAACCACCGCAATCAACGTAGGGCACCCTGGGGAAACTCACGAAATCTTTGATACCTGCATGGAATACGTGCATGAGCTGCTCGATCATGCTCGATGTATCACAGACAGTGGGGGGCATGTACTTCATTGATTGCTGGAGCAGCTATTTATTGCTTAGCACGGTTATGCACACCGCTGGAAATTACCTGGCCTAGAAAGTAAGATGAATATACTAGCAATGATCAGTCAAGTCATCAGTTGTGGGTGTACAAGACGAGTGAGGCCTTGAGGACTTAGACCGTTTGTTAAGAGCATGTGGTCACGTGGTATGATGTAATGTAGCCCGTTTGGACCCCCAGCTTTTCAAAGCTGGGGGTCCAAACTGGCTACATTACATCATACCACGTGATCATGCTTTAGTCATCGTAGCGGCGGTGAGACGCTAATCCTCCACTCAGTCTCTGCCACATTGCCCACGTCATTTACCTATCTATCCCCATTGCGAGCTTGAGGTGAACGTTACAAACGACACTGACACGTTCGTTTTGTGATTCGCGGAGTTATAGATGCCCCATCGATTTCGAGTTGTCACATCGACTTCCGGAGAGTACCAAGTTTGAAGTAAGTACAATATAATCACCCAAGTTCCGACTCTCTTCATGCTCGGAGATGGACGTCGACACCGACGCGGATCATGATGTACCAGATTCCGTACAAGCCTGGCATCCATCAGTTCGTCGACCCATCATTTCCATCGATCCGATGATCTACCATGAAGCTATTCATCCTCGTGCTATTTTTGAGCTTCGTGAAACTCCCTCCGGCGAGAATGTATCCGCTGTTCCCTATTCCTGCACCCATTGTCGCTCCTTAAAGCAGTCTTGTTCGCGTGTCTTACCCTGCGATCGGTGCACCAAGACTGAGCGGCCTTGTGATGCCAGTCAACCGGGCTATCAGAAGCTTCCCCCGCCCGGAATGTCCCAGACCCCTCCGGCGCAACCCTCCAAGATGATAGTAGCTTCAAGATCCAGCCAACCTATAACAACTTCTTCAAACTCTCGGTCACCAAAGAAACCGAAATTCACCCATCCGAACTCTTCAAGTACTCCCAAAAAAACTTCTAAATGCAAGGGGAATAAGAATAAGGTCGATGGTCCCTTCAGAGCACCAGTCAACCTGGAAACTAGAAGCGGTTGAGATGAGTCATGCATCATCACGGGCCATGATCGGTTCACTTTAGGTTGAACAGGTGGTCGTAGGTATAAAGGTCAGCACTTTCATCCCCCTTTCCCAGCGAATTACTACCGCAAACTCACTCTTTTATCATGGCCAACATCATCGATTCTCAGTGTGTCTTGGTCGTTGGATCCGCTGCAGAAATAGGTCGTACTCTTGCCCTGCTAACCGTCATTGTCTGTAGTCGCTGCAAGGAAAGGCTCGACGAACTGGTTGCCTTACACATTGCTACCGGACGACTCAAGAGCGTTACTCTTGACGTTCTTTCAGAGCGCAACGTTCTCAAGTCTTCCATCGAAGATATCGTCAACACTTACCCAGATGTATGTGCCCCTAGCACTATCCCATGCAAATCGGCACTGACCGGCTGTCTAGGTTCTTGTTCTCGAATGGCATTCAACGGGCCTTCGACTTCACTAAGCCAGAAGCCGTTTATCTCGAATGTAGGTCTCCTGCTGTCACGGTGCATCTATGGTGCATCTATGATTACTCATGGCATTCTCATCTCGGTCAGCTCTCAAGTGTGAACTCGCCACCAACTACACCTCGATTGTCAGGATGATCGCCTTCTTTCTCCCTCATCTGATCGAGCTTGGGGTATGAGCATTTCTTATATTTTCCTTTCATTTCTCTGACCCATGTGCAGAAGCAAGGCCATCTGACGTTCTTATACACAGTCTATTCAGGATTGTCCATTGTTCTTGCCGCTGGAATCATTGACTACTGTGCGACAAAATCTACCATCCACGACTTGAGCATCTCACTCGCTGCTCAGCCCAATAAAAAGAATAACCACGTGGTTGAGATTATTCTTTCGTGAGTGATACTATTTGTCTCATCTCATTGCCATGTGAAGACTTGTCCTGGTCGAGTCGGACTTGAATGAGGCAGCATGACTGTGAGTTTCCCTTCTAATTTTCCGTATCTACCGTCTCTTGACCTGCGTGCGCGTTAGTCGAAGGCACGACGCAACGTCTGTCCAATTTCTGGCTTTCGCTCGAAGAATACACGAAGGTGATGATGGAGGGCCTTGTTCGAGGCGACACGTATGTTCCAGCGCAGATGGTCGTCGAACAGCACAAAAAGTTTGAGGAGGGGAAGTTGGAGGCTGCAACGAAGGCAACGACTCAGACATAGAGGAGACTTGGAATGTGTAGTAATGGCAGTTGAGCTTCTTCCTTTAAAATCATTCTTGTTGCTGAGTCAAACTCAGCTGGAATCCGCCGGACTTGCCAATGGGTCCCAGACTTTGGCCGCAGAGTGTCCAAATCCCTGACTTTCTCCGTTTTGCAGTCTTGCTCGTCGTCTCGATCACGTTTCGCATCAATCTTATCCTTGCCAACACATAAGCAATCAAATTGCCCCACCCCATTGCTAGTTCTATGTTCACACCGGAACATTTTTTTAAGCTGTACCAAGTCGACTACAACACCGCTGCTATTCGTGACTCTCAGGTTGGCTACAACATCTGTAAATCCACCATCGAGAACCAGAACTCCATGTGCCGAACTGGTGAGCCACATTGACGGTGCGTCTCGTTGACACCACACGCGTCGCTCATAATGATAGTATTAATTCTTAAGATTTTTGCTTGTGAGCATATTTCGCCCCCAACTACACTATCGGCGATACCGAGCAGGAGGAGGTTCCATGTTGCACCAAGCCTGACCACGGAACTCGTCTCATTCACGACTGACTGAAAACATATGGGACTGGTGTATCTCGCGGCAGTTATGGTGGGTGACCGATGCCCATCCTGAGGGAGAAGATAACGACGTTGGTATTTCAATGGTCAGTCCAACACTTGTGCACTTACTCTTGAATGCAGAAAAACGATGGCAAGAACTGGAAAATTCTTGCACGCGGGAAGAATTTTACACTTGAGCAATATGAAGATGTCCTCGATACTTGGTCCTCTGGACTGTGGTCCTTCTCGATCCTGACGGCCATAAAAGGCAGTGTTTCATACCGTAAACTGGCTGGCATTAATCGTCCACCAACAGACTGCCGATTTTCCTCGGTATTATCCCTACCAATATCCTTGAAACAGGCTGGGACATCCTTTTCTTCTGGGTGGCGTGTATGATTCTCATGGGCATCTGTCTTACTGGTCAGATGCTATTTTCTGAAGTACTCTGCTGCGCGATGATTCGCGATGCCCATGGACGCAAAATGGGCAAATCGCTCGGTAACGTCATTGAGCCGATCGACGTCATCCATGGCCCATCACTTGAGCAACTCCACCAGAAAATGTATTTAGAAGTTGGAGGATAAGGTTCGTGTGTAGTGCTGTTATTAATGTTCTCATTTACACTAATTTGTGATTTGGGCTTCAGGATCTCTTAGCTGCTGTCAAGCACGCCAAGCACGGTATCGCTGCCGCTTCTGTACATCACAAACGCCCTGGCAGCCTCACAGGTAGTCTTGCAGGGTACATTAATCCCTCAATCAGCACTGGCGGTACGGAATGGATTGCAGGTATGGCGCCTGTAGAACGCCTCACTGCAGCTATGCCGAATTCATGGTTATCTCCGAAGAAATCTCTGTCCTCCTACCACCACCAATCCTGCCTTTCTTATCACGAGGTACGTCACACAACTAATTTTGTTTGCATATTCTCATCGCCTCTCAGACACATGGAAGACTTTGTCGCTTCCGACCATTCCGAGTTGAAGAGAACCATCATGAGCTACAATGACGACGTAGGCGATCGACCGTGACATTCACATCCCCTTCTGACCATCTTCCGAAGCTCGACCACAAAAGCCCCGAGGGATTTCCTGCTCGGTTACTCAAAGCCGACTGAAGCGCCCGATTACAACGATATCAGCTCTCCCAGTCCTTTGAGCAGTGCTGGAGAATCTGGACGAGGATACGACGGTCCGACATGAGGTGAGCGTCCTCATCGTCCCGTTTTACATAGTCCCGCTTTATCTCTTCAGTGTATTATGATGCTAACCAACATTCGAAATAGGCAACAGAAGCAATGGGCGCGATCTTGTCACCTAATTTCAAGGCAGTCCTTACAGATAATCATAAATACACCCTGCATGGAATACGTGCATGAGCTGCTCGATCGTGTTGGATGTGTCACAGACAGTGGGGGGCATAAATTTGTATTATATACACCATTGATTGCTGGAGCAGCTATTTATTGCTTAGCACGGTTATGTACGCTGCTGGAAATTGCCTCGCCTAGAAAGTAAGATGAATATATCAGCAGTGATCAATCAAGTCATAAGTTGTGAGTGTACAAGATGAGCGAGGACTTGGATCGTTGGAGACTGTCAAGAGTTTGTATGTGGTCACGTGGTGTGATGTAATGTCTGCACAGGTATGGGTATGGGTTAGAGTAGCTCGTTTGCATTCCACAGCCGCACACTGCTATCATCCAATCGAGATGCGATGCGAGCACCATCCGGTGAGAACGAGGCTGACAAAACCCCTTCAGTGTGCCCATTCAAGGGCTCAGCCAATGGTTGTCCCGTCCCTGCAGTCCACAGCCACACAATCTTATCCGCCGAGCCAGACGCAATGCGAGTACCCTCCGGTGAGAAAGAGACTGACAAAGCCGGTTGAGTGTGCCGCCGCAAGGGCTCACCCAATGGCTGTCCCGTCGCCGCATCCCGCAGTCGCACAGCGTTATCCTCCGAACCAGGCGCGATGCGAGTACCATCCGGTGAGAACGCGACTGACTGGACCGACTCGGTATGCCCGCTGATGTAATGTCTGCACAGGTATGGGTAGGGTCAGAATTCTGAAATCTGTCAGAGCTTACCATACCCGCCTTTGAAACTTCTATTCATATGCAGGCTCACACATGGGGTTATTACAAAGGTATGACAAATAGTATCTAAGATAGCATGCTCGGGTACCTATTGCATATGCTTAATGCATCTAATAATCACCGCCAAGGTACAAGTGTGTGCTCATTAGTAGAATTTATCATATTTGATTAATTCTTGACTTTGTGCTGGTTGGAAAATCTAGAAGTAGCCTTTTGCACTGTCTGTGGACCTACTAAGGTGAGTTGGGTGGATTCAAGCGGGAGCTTGAGCAAGGGATTCCAACCTGAGATGATACACTCACATCACTGTCATATATCATATATGATGAAGGGCCATGCTTCTTTTTTCCCTTCACCAAGAGTGCTGTTCATCTGCGTCCTCTCAAAATACCGCTAATTTCACCATTTACCTCATCCCTGAGGTGCCACTCCAAGTTGCTGGTGCCTGAATTACTGCATGCCTGAAAAAGATGGATGACCCAGTTATCCTGCAGGTTTCACCTTCCATTTTGCGGTACAAAGTTACTGGCCAGTTCAGGTCTAGATGCTGAGGAAATGAGCTCAGAGCTTGTCACGAGATGATACAAATATACCATTGCCTCTTTGAATGATCATGCTGTGTTTTTCACCTTGGTTCCCCCCTTTCATGTGTCACCATCTCGCTATACCTAGTAAGTCTCTGTTCCATCCTAACTAGTATGAGAGGTTTCACATGGTTCCGTAATAAGATCCTCAGATTGGTCCATATAGAATTGTGTTCTCTCTATTATGCCAGCTCCTTTTGGAGAGCCAATATCTAGTATGTAAGTGATCGGGCCCAATCTGATTTCACCATCCACTTCTCATCCTGACTCAGTGCCTCTAGTTGTGTTGATTCAAGCTTCTAAGACGGACTGCCAGTCACTTGATGGTGTTACTACCCCCAGCCAAGCAAGCATAATTATGCTCAGGCTGATCATGAGCATTGCTTTCAGAGGAATGCTTGCTTGAGCTGGTCATAATGAATAGCATGGGTAAGTATTAGGTCAGACCTTGCGCTCTGTCAACTGATTAATAATAATATTAACGGGCTTCCTTTTCTTCTTTGTGAAGATTAGTCCAGTTCTGCTTCTCTGATCGGATCAACAATTTTTGATACTCATTTGCATTGATTGGGTGAAAGTTCTGATCCGTTGATTATAGACTTAGTCAACTAAATATGAAATTTTCATTTGATTGATGTCTGCAACCAATGGTGAGAGTCTATCTCAAAACTGACCGCGGAGGAGAGTTGGAAACTGAGGGCCTGCCTCAGTGCTGTCACAATCCTGGTATATACAACATTTGCTACTTATGTTATGTTACGTCCACTTATTGCTAGGTTGCAAATTCTACTGATGATGTACTCGTCCAGCATCTGAATTCTACTATATTAGACGGTGTTTACAAACTGGATGTCATCAACTGCTAGTTCCAGGATCTGAGAACATGATTCCAAAGCAGAGATTTGACTTCAGAGGCCATCCTGGACTGCCAGTGATTATGTGATGGCGAGCTTGGAAATTGCAACATTGCCATCTTCTGCCAGTGATGGGCCTGACAGTGTAAATTCTGGTCAGGGTCTGATAGAAAATATATTGACCCTTCTTACCAAACTCCCTGCCGATGGCACTAGTAGGTTTTATTTTATTTTGCTCTCAGCTCATGGGTACTTGCCTAATTTCAGGGGATACTGAAAAGTATATATACAGTGAATGACTGGACACTTCCTCCATACAACCACAACCCATCTCTTCCTCAGTAAAAATGCCTACCATTACTATGCCTGGTGCTCTTCTGGCGCTCAGTGCCCCTTCTCATATAGAAGAGGGAGATTCTTTGGTGGACGCTGTAGGACACCCTGAAGCTGGCAATATTCCTTGGTGTTGGCCTGTATGGCAACAGCGCACTATGCTTAGTTCAACTCCCTTATCAGTAACTGTCAACGAGGACACTCCTGATGCTTGGAAATCCCCTGAGGTCAATCAGGCAGTCTTGACATTCGCCAACAATTTCTGGGCTGTTGATGATGCCGCCCAAGTGGGTTATATCAAAAAAGATTGCACTGATAATGACAACAAAGGTCGACAACATTGGCTGAACTATTGCCATGCTAATTGGTCAAACTGGAAAATAAACAGTACCGTTGACAAGGTACTGGCTGAACGTGGCCTGGACCCATATTCAGTTATGAAGCGTCTCAAGGTGGCCAGTGTGAGATTCATTTACTTTTGTCCCCATACCATGCCCTCATTGACTATTTAAATTAGCTACCAGATCTTGCTACCTCACAGGTTGCACTTGCCTACTCTAGCCTTGCAGAGGCGCTTTTTGGCCCTGAATCTTTCACAGAGGATGGTATTGCACTTAAGGAGCCAGTTCGGCGCTTCCTGGATGCCCTTGTGACCCATCATTGGGCAAAGAATAGGAAATCTATTGGACGTGAAAGAGGACGACTCGGAAAGTTAAAGATCAAAGTAGACCAGACATGGAAAGGTAAGCCTTTCTATACTAGGCATTTCTGATACCTAACATTATTTATCCAGAATTCCAATCAATGACAGAGCAAAGCAAACGTCTGGACGCTGAAGGCATTAGAACCTGGCTGAAGGATGTGGAAGGACTTACTAAAATCCTTACTCGATATGGTGATCGCGAGTCATTGAAGCAGCTTTCAGAGCAGCAAGAAACACTTAGCAACCTTCTTCAAGGCTTAGAGATAGATGTGAAGGATGGAAACAAGTGCCGTGAGTCACTAACCTCAGCTCATCTTTGCCCCAATTTTCTTACTTTTTTCTGGAGATAGGTCTACCTAAACCCCTACGTGAAGCACTTTCATTCCTTGCGACTCAGCAAGATATAACTCTACTCACTGCGTCCATCCATGACCAGTTAAAACTTTGTGATCCCAATGCCACGCCAGCAGAACCAATACCAGAGTTTGACCCTGATGCCACCAGCCATTGTGATTACCAATGGTCTGAAGGTGTGGAGGAATATAATGGTATGTCTCACGAGGACCTATGGGCGATCCTTGGACTTCCAGAAAAGCAAATACCCTTCTTTAACCATTTGCAAGACCCCTATGGCAATTGCGACCCTTGGTCTGAGGACGGTCAAACCTGGTTAAAAGAAAATGGGGAACCTCTTGCTCTCCGCTGGCACCAGCTTGTTGGTCTTGTTAAAATGGTCAAGAATGCGTTTTGTGGAATGCCTGTCCTGCTCATGGACGAAGTGGGCTTAGGTAAAACTATCCAAGTCACCGCCCTTAATTGCGATACTGTCATTTTATCGTGAATTTTATACCATGCATAACTGTTTTCCAGGTAAAATAGGTATGCCTCTCTGTCAAGTTCCCCCAGCACTGCAGATCTAACCTAAATTCAATTAGCTGGGACGCAGTGGAGAAGCAACACTCCAAACATTCCAAATCTTCCTGTGATGCTGGTTATCCCAGCAAATCTTGTACCCCAGTTTACTTCGGAGTTGCACCGATTTCTTCAACGGGGCGCCTTTGATGTTCTACCCTATCTGGCCACCTGGAGCAGTCGGAGAACCTGGTGGGAAGACATATGGAGCAGGTCAAAGCAGCCTGAAGGGCGGCGGATAATCATCACTACTCCCAAGGTATGGATATAACTATATTTTCTTTCTGCAAAACTCAATATTTTTTCTTGCATTCAGGCTTTAGAATCTGACTGCGACCGCATTTTCGAGGCAAATAATCTTACCCCAACAAAACATCCACGACAGAAGACCAATTATACCATTGATGCACCCAGCACAGCTTATGGGCGAGATTTCTTATTGGGCGTGGTGGATGAGGCCCATAACTACAGAAATATCAAAAAGGGTTACTGGGCAATATTTTGCCTTCGCTTGCTGTGTCATGCCATGGTGGCTATGACGGCCACACCAATCACCTCTCGACCTCTTGTGAGTGACCAACCTTCATCATCCCATTCAGTTTTTAACATCAATTTCTCCTTCTTCATTTGCACAGGACGTATGGAACATTGGAAGATGCCTGGGTCTAGAGCTCTTTGGCAGCTCATATGATGATGAGGCCTTAAAAATGGTCCGTCAACTGCGTGCTGCTGCTGCCAAGGATCGCAAGCGCTTTAAACAAGGCGACCGCATTGCCAAGATAATCATGGGAACGGTAAAGGGCGATGCTGACATTGAGGTTCCTAGTCTGTACCGTAGTCAGATGCTGACTTGGATTGGCATCATCCGAGAGAGATTTTCAGGCATCGTTATACGGCGCACTATTTGGTCTGTTGACTATCGTGGCACCAGGATCTCAGGCTTGGCTCCATTTCAAGAGCATAATTTGCTTGTGAAGCTGTACAGCCATGAGGTGGACAATCTTGAGCGTATTGCCAAGGATTTGGTTGAGGAAGGTGGTGTTAGAGCAGCAAAGTTTGCTTCTGGCTCGGTACAATTTTTTTAAAATTCCTATTCAAGTGTTAATCAATCAAAAATTTCCAGGATTTCTACATGCGCGTCCGCAAAGCTTTATTGCACCCTAGCTGCAACCCAGGATATCCATGGGCAAATCCCTCCAATTTGGATGAGTGGAAAAAGGACCCATCTCGCAAACTTGATGTTCTTGCTCAAGTAATTGGTTGGCATCAGGAGCAGGATGGACGTCTTCCTCTGCACATTGTGGATGACATACTAGTAGCATCATCTGCCAATCCTGATGTCACTGCTGACATTGCCGACTCTCTGCCCTGCGATAAAATGATTGTCTACTGTGCTTTCCCTTCTAGCTATACACAGGTGCTCAAGGTATTCAATCGTCATAATTTTCTTTTCCAACAATTTAGTGACCTTGAACTTTTTGAACTGCAGGTTCTGGAACTTAATGGCATCCTGACTTTACAGATCTATGGCAAATTGTCGATGTCGACTAGAACTGATATCATTGCGCAATTCAAAAGAAGCGGGCGCAATGGTCCTCGTGTTTTAATAGTCTCCAATGTTGGGCTAACAGGTCTCAATTTACCTTGTGCCAACATATTGATAATTGTGGTGAGCGTTTGCTTTTTTCCCATTCACCTACCCTTTTATTGGCTATTTTTTCTGACTCTTACGTTGACTATAGGACTCCCTGTGGTCAGCCACTGATGAAGGACAACTGATTGGACGTATCTATCGTCCTCCACAACTGAAGACAGTCCACATCTACCGAATTGTGGCCGCTGACACTCAGGATGTCTTTCTAAATAACATCTCCTTTAGTAAAGCTGTAATCCTGGATGCATTCACAGGGGCAACACCCAGTTTACGCACGTATTTGCTTGCTGCTCTGCGGTTGAAAATCTAATTTTGACATTATGTAGGCTCTTTGTTTAATGACGATGAGGAAGCAGAGGAAATGGGCACCCTTTCTGAGATTGATGATGTCCCTTCCAAGAAGGAGAAAACAAAGTCAAAGACGCCAAAAACAGGCTCCTCAAAAAAGAAAGAAGGCAAAGCTCAGAAAGCGAAGTCTCTGGCCCCTCCCATTGAAAACTCACAGTTGAGTTCTTCAGTAAGGCTTTCATATTTTTTCTTCTTAAATCCTAATCTAACGCTGTGAAGAATACCCAGCAGCTCCAAGTTCAGAACAACTTGGCCCAAGCAGCGTCCCCCAGACAGAAGTCTCCTCCTGCTCCTAGCATGACTGTGGATGCTGATAGGGGGGATAGTATTACGCAGTTGGAAGCTCGGGTAAGCATCGTATTCCATGTTCTTCAATCCTAATCTAATGCTGAGAAGAATACTCAGGAGCTCCAAGTCCAGAATAACTTAAGCCAAGCAGCGCCTGCTCCCAGCATGATTGTAGATACCAAGACAGGAGATATTGCACAGTCAGAAGCTCAGGTGAGCATCATATTATATGCAAGTTAATAATGTTATCAAGCCCACATCTACTCTAAGGTTAATGATAGCGCAGAAGAAGAATTTCAAGCTAATGCTATGCAAGACAATGCATCTCAGGGATGCCAAGACTCCACAATAATTCTACCTCTTAAGCGTACAGCTGATTCTAGTCTGGAGAATCAAGTATCAAAAGTGCAAAAATTGGCATCCAGAGATGATCATCATGACGTTTCCACATTCCTTGCAGATATGCAGCAGCAAGGCATAGGAATTGAACGATTATGTGCTTTCATTAAATCCATTCCAAGTGAGTATAAATTTCTCTTATTTGTCATAGTACCGCCTCTAACATCTTTCATATTACAGATTCATCCTCCCAGAATCCAGACCACCCATTGGCGTCTTTTGTTCCAGGGTTGAACACAGCCACTGAACTTTCAACGCCTGCTCCCTTGAACCCTACCACTAGTAGCAGAAAGTAGGCGCCTGGATTGGGCAGTTGTTATCTTGGAGTTCTATTTCTTATGTCATTTATTCGTCTATTCAAGTTGCTATATGTCCTCATGCATGTACTATTTCTCCCATAATTCAATTCATGCAGTGAGAGCAATCTTGTCAAGTTGTCAGACGTCTCAGAATTGAGGCACAACTCAAACAACAACAAAGACCTAGATACTGAAAGAATTGATCATTTAGCTGTGCTCAAGTTTCCAGTAATGCCCAATCATTGATACAGCTCTCATTAAGTAGTAGGTATCAAGTAGTATGTCCAGAAGCACATTATATGCAACCTTCCTTTGAACATTAAAATTTGCCCAGGGGTGGGTTGGAACACCTGACCTCCTAAGTTTGAGATATGGCGTGAGATGCTAAATCAGTCCCATTGTCAGCCACACCCTCTCACTGAAACACCCATCCACTACCCACAAGAATCTGACCTTTATTCAAACATGCAACTTGAACCTCCTGATGAGGATTTACCTGCCATCCAGGTCTCTTTAAGTGAATTTGTCTCAGCTGCAGAACAGATGTTCACGCCAGACCAACTAGAGAATTTTCTTCGCTTTGTGCTTGCTGGACGCCTTCAAAGCCATGATAAGCTTGTTCGGATATTTTTAAATGCAAGACAAGGAGCCCTTGCACCTCCTATTTCCAAATTTCAAGTGTACAGAGACATCGACTCTGTTATAGGCATTACACAGGATTTACCATTCCGATTACCTATGGCTATCTTTCCCTTGGCATCATTCCGTGATACCCTTACTGAAGACAATCATTTAAAATGCTCTCTATCTTGTGCAAAGGTGTGTGGATACAGGTCAAATATCAAGCATTCTGATAGGAGCGCCTTCACCAGAATGTTATAGGTGTCTCACTTCACCGAATTCCTAACATGGCATTGGGGAAAGTTGATCGACGTCATATCACCCGTATCTTCTTCCCTGGATTGTATTGCCAAGGCCAAAATCCTGCCATTCCTCCAGACACGATGACTTTAATCTATGAAAAGTGCCTTCGGCCTGCTGTTGTCAGTCTCAATCCTGTTGATCGGAGCCGATGGCCAATCACATACTCAGCTGCCATGAATTTGTATCGTGATCTCAAAGGACAATTTCACTTCAGTACAATCGATTTCCCATCTAACCTCTTGGACCAGCTGGGGCCCAAACTTCTGGAAATGTTCCAGATACAAGATGGGCTACAGGACGCATTTTTTGTTCATGAACTGCGGGGAACAAAAGGTGCATCTCACCATGATCCATCCAATGCAGGAGCAAGACGTACTGCTCTCAATACTGTATTCCATTTTTTCGACATGTCGCTTGTCAGGCCAGAGGACTGGGTGGTTGATATTGGACTGGAAATCCAACATGAAGGCCATGTATTGCAGTGGCTTACCAAAGGCCACCGTCATTTGCTGCAATTCCTTTTGCCATCCAGTGCAGAATGCAAAATAGATTCCATCATTGCTTCTCACACTCAGTATCATCGTGACCTCTCAGCACAATTAGAGGATCTTGGAGGATTCCGCGCTCATCCAGGTTCCCGTGGAAAGGATGATGAAGTTTACTATATAAATGCCTATACCACAGACAAATGTGCAACCTATCAGCTCCACGATGGCATTTTTAAGCGTCGCCAGGCATGGCACCTATTCCCAGCAAGCATAGGGAAGCTTATAAAGGATCTTGAGCGCATGGCAGAAATATTTCGCCTCTGTGGGAATTCTCCCAATGTGGGTGGACATGAAGGCAATGCACGGGTGGAGATTCGTGTACCATTCCGTCTAGCAGACCAAGTTCTCTTGCAAATGCCAGATAGGGTAATACAAGATACCCTTGTAACATTTGATTGCAAATTATTTTGGTGAGCATTTTGGTCGCCACCAGTCTTATCTAAGGTACTAAATTGAAATCCAATTTGAAGGTACTTCAAGTACTATCGCATGGCTGCACTTTACCATGTGGTCAAAAACCTACAGAGTGCAAACCGAGTGGCCCGTCTCCAGCATGAGTCATTGAAATTGGGTGCTCTGGTTACTTATCAGATCAATGCCCTAATTTACCGGCCAGCAGAGGGTCAAGCAGAGAACATTTTGCTTGAAGCTTCCTGCCAGCACATACCTGTTGATCGTACCAATGGGCGAAGCACTTATCCAATCATGTATGGCAGAGGCACATACTTTCTGTCAGACTTGGTCAATGATGCTGGAGCTTATCGCCTTCCTAATATCAGGCCAATCGATGCCAATACCTTGCTGGCTCTATATCGAAGGGATTTTATGGAGGACATTGATGTGGAGTTTTCGGACTTTCACTCCAAACGTCAGAGGGTTGGAGTCAGTCAGCTGTCAAGAAAGCGCAAGACAACTTACAGAATCCATGACAGTGATGAGGAAAGCAGTAGTGAGAACGATGCTCAAGTTGAAGAAGATGCTGAGGAACCAGAGAGAGGCACTTCAAGAGCAGCACTTGATGCTCCTTTCAGCAAGACGGCATATCTAAGCGAGCTGTCTGCTATTCAGCATCAGTTTGCATCTGATATCTTTCAGCTGGCGCCATCTCCCAAGCTAGCCTTGAATTCCCCTTGGGTACTGCTGGATCCAGAGCAGAGAATGCGTACCAAGGTTGACATCTTCAGTTCACTGGATCTCAGTGGCATTTTCAGTCAAGTTCAGTATCGAATTATCAGCCATGCTGATTGGAATAACCTGGTATTCAAACGCTATTTTCCAGCCAAAGGAGCCTCAACAGTTAAGGCTCTTCAGCATTTTCCATCAGCATCATACTATCGGCAATGGCACGCTCTTATGGATAGGCTTGATGAAGATAAGGCAGAGATCATTCAGAATGATTTGATGCAGTGGTTTAATGAACTGTACTGGGTACCCCATCCAGAAAGTGACCGTATGTGGTCTACCAAAAAAGGTGGTAAGGAATGGATAATGTTGCCTCCTGGAGAGCAGAGGAATTGCCCACATATAGCAGTCAATTCAAGATTTATTGACAAGGATGCAGCCGTAGTGCTGGTTGTAGGAACTTCTGAAAGGCAGCACTAGCAATGTTGTAGACCCCCCTATCCATTAATATAGACATTCTGAGTCGGTATAATGCTGCTAATGAGTTTGATGGGAATTGATGGATCAAGAGAGATAAGTGAGAGGGATTTAATTCACTGAAGATATGGAAAGTAAAGACATGCTTTTATATCTAAGTGAGTGGCTATAGCGGTACAAAGGGAACTCCATAGCATAGCTGGCAGAGTGGCACTTTAAACTGGTACAAGGAAATTCCATTGCAGGCAGTACAAAGGGAATTCAGTAGCTATCAGAGTGACGCTCCTTACATCAGTATATTTCAATTACATTCTAAGTCTTGACACTATATTGAAGCTCTTTTCACAGCAGAGTTGGCGACTGAATTTTGAAAAGTGACCTGACTTACAGGAGGGACTGGCCCTGCTCATCATAATGTTGATATGTAACTTAACATTTGCAATTGCATTGACGCATGAGTTGGAATTGGCCGGCACAGGAAAATTAAACAGTAACAGACTCATGGAAATGCAAGAAGGGGCAACAGAGAGGCAACAGAGACTTGTGGGAAAGTTAAGGGCAACAGAAGGGCAACAGAAGGTGGGAACTTTGGGGTCCAGACCGGCCAGGTGTTGGGTTGAAACTTAACAGGGTGAAAGCCTGGTTAGCATCCAGCTATAGGTCTAGCTCATACTATGATCTAGCCCGACAATTTGAAGACAATTTGAAGCTGTGCATTGCTGATCGTCATAGGTTTATTTTTCTTTAGCAATGCTGATATATATGTTTCACTGATCAGTGATTTCCAATTTGATGCAATATCACCTGATGGGATTAGTGGCGCTATGATGACTAAAGCATGATCATGTGATATGATGTAATGTAGCTCGTTTGGACCCCCAGCTTTGAAAAGCTGGGGGTCCAAACGAGCTACATTACATCATATCACATGATCACAATATTCTTGGACTGCAATCCATCCATAACATTGTTTAGAATTCTGCTGAGTTCCTAAGGTTCAAGCTAAGGCCAAGGTGCTCCCAGAGTCCAGACCTGTGGTATCTTTTGATAAGGCAGGGTTTCCCAAATATATCTTGGCAAAATTGATCTGCGCACAAGGTTTTGCCATACCAACTTGGAGTATCATAAATTAAAATTGTTTGATCTGGCCTGGAAAATGGTACCGATACAGATCTAATGCTATGGAATGTAGGTGGGTATGATACACTGTGAATTGCTGGTATTAGGGAGGTATTATAATAGTGGGGTCGCTTCTCCTGCCATCCCGCCCCATCCCACATCGCCCGCCATCCCGACACCAACATTCGGACGATGTGTCGCAGAATGTCCAAGTTGGAGGGTGAGGCTGGTCGCCTCGTCACCTGCCAGTGACTTATTGTCAATAAAATAGTACGAAAAAACATGGTACTTGCATCATTCTCTCGATCACGAGATCCTATATAGGGAATCTCTGAACTGATGGAGAGTGGTGAAGGCGGAGGTGAGTCCAGGGCCTAGGAACATCTTAATACTGAAAATTAGCGCCGGGCACGAGCGTCATTGATACAAAGTATTGCCTCGCTTGGGGTCACAACAGCACATGCAAAAAGGACTGGAAAATGTCCCTTGAGATACTAAGTTGGCGTGACAGTGGGATCATGGCATCTTCTTACCGGCTGAACCATTAAACCCTGAAATGAACACCCTACATTCGTGCGAGTGTGCAGGATACTCGCTCAAATCTTTGGAAAAAGGAAGGTTCAGTAATGCTTCTGCCGGACATGTTATGTGTGCCTACGCTAGTGCTTGCTAAGAGCAAAAAAAAGCCTTGATGTTGCTCTCGTAGCTTCGTGAACCGCGAGCCGCTCGGTAGTGTCGACAGTGCGAGTCCAATTACACCCATAGTCGTCGTCGTTGTGCCAGAGATGGATCGCAGTCTGAGCAAATGCAGGGGTCAGTAGATTTTGGCGACTATGCGCACGCAAGGCCCGGAGACTGCATTGAGACCAATGGTGTGGTCTACAAAGTCTAGCGCGGAAGACGAGATTAGTTCGAGCGAAGTAGAGAAATTAATCAGAGTGACTACGAAAGACCAGTGATCAAGAAAACGTAGGGGGAGGGTCAGACAGCACCGGTAGTCACACCTCATGAAGCTAAAATGGACATGGGCTGCTCAGTTGGAAGGCCTTGATGAAGGTGTGTTATACCCGTCGAACTCGCCACTTCCAGATCAAGTTTTCAATCAATGGTGGAAACTGCAGTTGCTCTAGCAGCTGTTGTGTTGAGCACGTACTCCGCATTTGAACGTACTTGAGTAGAAAGCCGATTCCGCCATTTCGTGAGGATTGCAGCCACGAGACGACAGTTGTGAATCAGCACGAACGAGAAAACAGAGCGGGGCTGCATTTTGCACCAAGAACCACAGGAAGTCATATAGGTTGTGGCACGAGGAATCCGCGTGTATTATTAGGAGTGCTAGCTGTACTCGGCAGAGGACTGCTTATGGACGTTATTGTGCAATCCAGTACATCAATACAATATTGAATAAGTACTGGGCGCCGAGCGCTCAGTTTCTATATAAGGAACAAGGACCCATGGCACCTGACCCGTTCACGTTCAAGTGAACTTCACCGGCACGGCGGCACCAACGGTCATCGACTTTCACACCATTTGCGTTCAGTGAACGAACACCACGGTCAGCTGTGACTGGCAGAACACTGTTTCCACGAGTCTGTTGCCGGTTCTGTTGGGGACCGCACCATGGAATTTTACTTCTGTCAGATCTCTTGCCCTACGCCTTTACCCTTCGGCAATCCCACGGTCGATAATTATAATGGGAGTTCAAGAATCAAGTCAACGTGTTGGCCACTAGCATGCTTCAAAGCTCACGGTCAAGGGTATTTAACTCGTGCCAGAGGTCCTCTCCCTTCTCCCATACTTCTTGCACCTTCACTTTGCTCACACTAATTGACCACTCGTAGTGAGTGAAGACCATAGGCCAGATCCTCCTCCAGAACCCTGCGAAGCAACCGTTTGTGAAAGTTCGGTATGTGATCTCATGGGCTCACTCACTGTGAATGAGCGCTCATGAAATTCATCGCTGCCTCTGGCGCTTTCTTCGTCCAGAGTCGAGTCTGGCAGGGCCTGCGGAAATTTACGAAGGGCATCACCAAGAAAATTTCCGTGAGTAGATTACTGAGTCATTGGTGTCTAAGTTCTGAATATGGGCTGACATTATGCAGCAACGCTTCAAGTGTTCCCGCAACCACATCTCTGCGATCCAGAATGTCGACCTTCAAGGTGCTTCATCGAATCACAATATCGAGGTAGGTGTTCGAAATCGTAATCCCAGTCCTTCAGTTTTTTTTTCATCAGAGGCATCCAGGACATGTCACATCCGCATCCTTTCACCGACGACAACCATCCCACCACAGCTGAAAATCCCAGTGGCTCCGTCAACCAAGGCATATCCGGAGAACCTGTTTCGAAGGTACTTGCATCAAATTATTTAGTTTTTGTCTCTAAATGTTGTTGGTCACGCAGGTTCCCGACATCCCCCCTGGCGTGGAGGAAACCCCTGGTTCCAATTCGGTTCATGCTGCACTTCAGGGTGCCCACGAGGCTTCAGAACATATGAAAACACTTGGGGGACCTGCGCTATCTGAGACATCCGCCGTCAACAATGCCCCAGGTTTCACTGCCGCAGATGATTTACAGTTCACATACCTCCAACCCCTCAAAATTTTCGACACTACCATTGAGAAGATCGCAAATGTATGGGCCACTCTCCTTAATCGGTATCGAACTAATCAAGTTATAGGTGCATCGATGTGTAAAGATGGCGTTGGGCGTGCTTTCTGCTGCATCCAGAGTACGCTCTATGCTGCCCGGAGATCCGCCTCCCGCTCAGGTTTTATGGTTCCGTGCAGATCGTTCTTGCTCAAGCGGAGCGCGACCAATCGGTGCATCGCATTCTCCAGAAATTAGATGAAATCTATGGCTTCATTACCCAAGACGATAATCTTTCCAAGGTTGAATCGATGCGCGATGTCATTGGAAAGATTGCTCAGCAGACTCCCGAGTGTAGCCGTTTCATCAGGGAATACTCAGAGACGAAGAGCTTCTGTGAGTCGTCGAATTATTGCATTCGCACATGAATCTTATACCCACTATGATTATAGGGAAGAGAGTCGGTAAGAACATTGTCGTGGAAACGAATGATATCATCACGCGGTACAACGATACCTTGGATGGCCTTATGCAACGATTTCGGGATCAAACTGGTCGGGATGTAGCCATATTTGTCCAGTTTGCAGGTAAGGATTCATACGTGCCTCTGGTTTTAGATGTACTCATACCTTAAAGGCGAAAGACTTGATCTCAGCGGCATGGTTTATGCAGGGGGTGGAGGACTAGATACCGAGAAGAAATGTCTGTCAGGCACTCGCACCGAGTGGATCGACAGCAGTGAAGATTCCATTCCGCGTGTAATGTGGCTATCCGGCCCTGCAGGCAAGGGCAAATCAGCCATTGCACACACGATTGCCAACTGGTTCAACGAAACGGAGACCTTGGTTCATGTTTTTGTTTCAATCATCACAGAAACAGACCGTCGTCATGAAATGATTTTCTCCGCCATCGCACACGACCTTGCTGATCGTGATCCAGGGATGAAATGAGCGTTAGCGGATGCAGTCAAGGATGCAAACTCGCTCAACGACAGACATTAGCCAGCAGTGACGCAAACTTCTCATGGAACCGTTAAAGAAGTTCTCTGGGTCAAGTGTAAGGCCTATCTTGATCGTGATTGAAGCACTGGATGAGAATGGCGGAGTGGAGACGCAGTGTAACCTCCGCGTAGACTTCAGGACAAAGGACTTCACAAAATCACGGAACTTTCATCCAACTTTCGGATTCTCGTCACCTCTCGCCCGCTTCCCGATATCGAGCAGGAGTTTGATGGTGCTAATCATATTCCACCAGAAGTTGTGAAGCGCGACATTTACGCCTTTGCATCTGAGGAGCTGAAAGAGCTATCAGAATTTCGGGACAACCATCTTGAAATGCTTGCTGCAAAAGTCGATGGACCCTTTGAGTGGGCGCGTCTTGCGTGCGGATATATAAAGGAACCCTACCCCGGCTTATCCCCAATGGATTGTTTCAATTCTGTCGTGAACCGCCATCCCGGGGAGCGGAGAAACTTGTTGTATGATATGCATCGGCTCATCTTAACAGAAATCATGCCAAAGGATAAGTACACAACGGCCCACTACAAGTAAGCAGTAGCGAAGTTTTGTTCCGTGATGGGTCAAATACTTGCCACAGCCGAACGCCTCCCTTTAGTGGCACTGAATGCTATACGGACCATTTCCCGGAGTACCACGATCATTACGATGTAGATGTGGTGATAAAACGCATGGGCGCCCTCCTCAGCGGCACCACCGACTCACGTACCCCCATCCAACCCCTTCATGCCACATTTCAATTCCTGACGGACGAGGCATCCAGCGGAGACTTCTTCGTCGAGAGAACGAAGGCGCAACAACGCGACCTTGCATTTGCGTCACTACGAGTGATGGAACATGGCCTTCGCTTCAATATATGTAATTTGAAGTCGTCGTACCTCCCTAATTCCCAAGACACAGGGTTGCCTCAACGAGTCAAAACATCCATTCCCCTACATCTCTCCTATTCCTGTTGATTTTGGGTTACGCTCGTATCACCATCGAACTTCGACTCGGAGCTCGTCAACGTAATAAATTCATTCTTCGGCAATGAGCGACTGCCTTCTGGGTTGAGGCACTTGGCCTTCTCAACGCAATCAGGGGCGCAATAACCGTGCTTCCACTTATTACTGGGTGGCTGAAGGTGAGCACATGCCTACCAGGCAGCATCGGGATGAACATCTTACAATCAACTACAAGGCCATTCTGGATATAAAGATGTGCGGTTGACTACAATGGATGTGCAAAGATTCATTCAAGTATTTGGCGGCATCATTTTGCACAGCACGCCGCATCTGTATTTATCAGCGCTGCCGTTCTCACCCATAAACTCCACCGTAGCTACCAATTTTACTGCAAGGTTTCCGAACAACCTTGTTCTGGCATCAGGACATCATTTGAACTGGACGGCTGTCCAAATCGTGATCAGCGGGCATACCGAGTCGGTCCAGTCAGTCGCGTTCTCACCGGATGGTACTCGCATCGCGCCTGGTTCGGAGGATAACGCTGTGCGACTGCGGGATGCGGCGACGGGACAGCCATTGGGTGAGCCCTTGCGGCGGCACACTCAACCGGCTTTGTCAGTCTCTTTCTCACCGGAGGGTACTCGCATTGCGTCTGGCTCGGCGGATAAGATTGTGTGGCTGTGGACTGCAGGGACGGGACAACCATTGGCTGAGCCCTTGAATGGGCACACTGAAGGGGTTTTGTCAGCCTCGTTCTCACCGGATGGTGCTCGCATCGCATCTCGATTGGATGATAGCAGTGTGCGGCTGTGGAATGCAAACGAGCTACTCTAACCCATACCCATACCTGTGCAGACATTACATCACACCACGTGACCACATACAAACTCTTGACAGTCTCCAACGATCCAAGTCCTCGCTCATCTTGTACACTCACAACTTATGACTTGATTGATCACTGCTGATATATTCATCTTACTTTCTAGGCGAGGCAATTTCCAGCAGCGTACATAACCGTGCTAAGCAATAAATAGCTGCTCCAGCAATCAATGGTGTATATAATACAAATTTATGCCCCCCACTGTCTGTGACACATCCAACACGATCGAGCAGCTCATGCACGTATTCCATGCAGGGTGTATTTATGATTATCTGTAAGGACTGCCTTGAAATTAGGTGACAAGATCGCGCCCATTGCTTCTGTTGCCTATTTCGAATGTTGGTTAGCATCATAATACACTGAAGAGATAAAGCGGGACTATGTAAAACGGGACGATGAGGACGCTCACCTCATGTCGGACCGTCGTATCCTCGTCCAGATTCTCCAGCACTGCTCAAAGGACTGGGAGAGCTGATATCGTTGTAATCGGGCGCTTCAGTCGGCTTTGAGTAACCGAGCAGGAAATCCCTCGGGGCTTTTGTGGTCGAGCTTCGGAAGATGGTCAGAAGGGGATGTGAATGTCACGGTCGATCGCCTACGTCGTCATTGTAGCTCATGATGGTTCTCTTCAACTCGGAATGGTCGGAAGCGACAAAGTCTTCCATGTGTCTGAGAGGCGATGAGAATATGCAAACAAAATTAGTTGTGTGACGTACCTCGTGATAAGAAAGGCAGGATTGGTGGTGGTAGGAGGACAGAGATTTCTTCGGAGATAACCATGAATTCGGCATAGCTGCAGTGAGGCGTTCTACAGGCGCCATACCTGCAATCCATTCCGTACCGCCAGTGCTGATTGAGGGATTAATGTACCCTGCAAGACTACCTGTGAGGCTGCCAGGGCGTTTGTGATGTACAGAAGCGGCAGCGATACCGTGCTTGGCGTGCTTGACAGCAGCTAAGAGATCCTGAAGCCCAAATCACAAATTAGTGTAAATGAGAACATTAATAACAGCACTACACACGAACCTTATCCTCCAACTTCTAAATACATTTTCTGGTGGAGTTGCTCAAGTGATGGGCCATGGATGACGTCGATCGGCTCAATGACGTTACCGAGCGATTTGCCCATTTTGCGTCCATGGGCATCGCGAATCATCGCGCAGCAGAGTACTTCAGAAAATAGCATCTGACCAGTAAGACAGATGCCCATGAGAATCATACACGCCACCCAGAAGAAAAGGATGTCCCAGCCTGTTTCAAGGATATTGGTAGGGATAATACCGAGGAAAATCGGCAGTCTGTTGGTGGACGATTAATGCCAGCCAGTTTACGGTATGAAACACTGCCTTTTATGGCCGTCAGGATCGAGAAGGACCACAGTCCAGAGGACCAAGTATCGAGGACATCTTCATATTGCTCAAGTGTAAAATTCTTCCCGCGTGCAAGAATTTTCCAGTTCTTGCCATCGTTTTTCTGCATTCAAGAGTAAGTGCACAAGTGTTGGACTGACCATTGAAATACCAACGTCGTTATCTTCTCCCTCAGGATGGGCATCGGTCACCCACCATAACTGCCGCGAGATACACCAGTCCCATATGTTTTCAGTCAGTCGTGAATGAGACGAGTTCCGTGGTCAGGCTTGGTGCAACATGGAACCTCCTCCTGCTCGGTATCGCCGATAGTGTAGTTGGGGGGCGAAATATGCTCACAAGCAAAAATCTTAAGAATTAATACTATCATTATGAGCGACGCGTGTGGTGTCAACGAGACGCACCGTCAATGTGGCTCACCAGTTCGGCACATGGAGTTCTGGTTCTCGATGGTGGATTTACAGATGTTGTAGCCAACCTGAGAGTCACGAATAGCAGCGGTGTTGTAGTCGACTTGGTACAGCTTAAAAAAATGTTCCGGTGTGAACATAGAACTAGCAATGGGGTGGGGGCAATTTGATTGCTTATGTGTTGGCAAGGATAAGATTGATGCGAAACGTGATCGAGACGACGAGCAAGACTGCAAAACGGAGAAAGTCAGGGATTTGGACACTCTGCGGCCAAAGTCTGGGACCCATTGGCAAGTCCGGCGGATTCCAGCTGAGTTTGACTCAGCAACAAGAATGATTTTAAAGGAAGAAGCTCAACTGCCATTACTACACCATTCCAAGTCTCCTCTATGTCTGAGTCGTTGCCTTCGTTGCAGCCTCCAACTTCCCCTCCTCAAACTTTTTGTGCTGTTCGACGACCATCTGCGCTGGGAACATACGTGTCGCCTCGAACAAGGCCCCTCCATCATCACCTTCGTGTATTCTTCGAGCGAAAGCCAGAAATTGGACAGACGTTGCGTCGTGCCTTCGACTAACGCGCACGCAGGTCAAGAGACGGTAGATACGGAAAATTAGAAGGGAAACTCACAGTCATGCTGCCTCATTCAAGTCCGACTCGACCAGGACAAGTCTTCACCATGGCAATGAGATGAGACAAATAGTATCACTCACGAAAGAATAATCTCAACCACGTGGTTATTCCTTTTTATGGGCTGAGCAGCGAGTGAGATGCTCAAGTCGTGGATGGTAGATTTTGTCGCACAGTAGTCAATGATTCCAGCGGCAAGAACAATGGACAATCCTGAATAGACTGTGTATAAGAACGTCAGATGGCCTTGCTTCTGCACATGGGTCAGAGAAATGAAAGGAAAATATAAGAAATGCTCATACCCCAAGCTCGATCAGATGAGGGAGAAAGAAGGCGATCATCCTGACAATCGAGGTGTAGTTGGTGGCGAGTTCACACTTGAGAGCTGACCGAGATGAGAATGCCATGAGTAATCATAGATGCACCATAGATGCACCGTGACAGCAGGAGACCTACATTCGAGATAAACGGCTTCTGGCTTAGTGAAGTCGAAGGCCCGTTGAATGCCATTCGAGAACAAGAACCTAGACAGCCGGTCAGTGCCGATTTGCATGGGATAGTGCTAGGGGCACATACATCTGGGTAAGTGTTGACGATATCTTCGATGGAAGACTTGAGAACGTTGCGCTCTGAAAGAACGTCAAGAGTAACGCTCTTGAGTCGTCCGGTAGCAATGTGTAAGGCAACCAGTTCGTCGAGCCTTTCCTTGCAGCGACTACAGACAATGACGGTTAGCAGGGCAAGAGTACGACCTATTTCTGCAGCGGATCCAACGACCAAGACACACTGAGAATCGATGATGTTGGCCATGATAAAAGAGTGAGTTTGCGGTAGTAATTCGCTGGGAAAGGGGGATGAAAGTGCTGACCTTTATACCTACGACCACCTGTTCAACCTAAAGTGAACCGATCATGGCCCG